ATCTATATGGTCGGTCCCAGCCTTTCGTACTAAGGACAGACCATAAGCCCCTGTTAGCTATATTCGGGCCCCATAAAGGTATTCCCGAGGTATCGGCAAACCGCCTACAGAGATATGCTATATTTTTAGCTGCGTATAATTACACTATTGAATACATCAGTAGTAAGCACAACAGCGCGGATTATTTATCTCGAGCATTATTCTATCTATATCTAATTTATTCAAGCCATATTAGTTGCATCAATAAGGAGGAAGTATAGAGGTTTCTCGGATAGATTTTTCCAAGATGGCGGAGTGTGCTGCGCATATATGAGGTAGCAGCAAAATGTAACACGAAAGGAGCACATCAAAATCTAAAAAATTGCCAACTTTCAAAATTCCCAGAAGACATTATTACAACAGGCAGAACTACAAAAGTAATTAACTATATTCATAATTCAAAGAAATTACAAATGATTAGGTACCAGTTACTATTAACCAGGCAAGGTTGTCAAAAGATTCCTCATTTAATAATGTTAAGCTATATTTGCAATAAACAGTTGATGTAACCTCTAACAGATACAGACCACATTCATCATCAAAACAAATAACTTTCGGTGCACAAAATAAATCAGTCAATTTGACATGTTTGTATTAAAATTATTATAATTCTATATCTCCACCATCTTCCACCATTTCTCCAGTAGCGGGTACCATGACAGGTGCCTCGATGACTTGTTTGCGGCCCTTAGCATCAACAACCTCAATAGTTTCGGGTTCAATGTCCATCTCGGTTTCTTCTTCAAGTTGTCTCTGTTTGAGGCCAGCTGCTGGTGATCTGTAAAAAACAAGAAAAATGTGTAAATATGTAGTTGTAGATATTTTATAGAATTAACCCATAAATCCCCAAGCGGTCACCGGTGACCGCTTTCCACTAATATTACATTACATTATAGACCTTATTTCTAATGTTTAGAGAATACTTTTGTATGACCAAATTTAGGGGATGGATATCAACGGGTTAATAGACACTATGAGACATTTAATTAGGCTATTTTGTACTTGGTTTAGTTATTGATAATATCAATATGCAGTTAGTAAAAAAAAACAGCTAAGATAAAACAACAACTGGCTACACCAAAATATCTACTGGCCCATCAAGTTTACCTGGCTACTATCCACTTAAATAAAAAAAGCACAGCTATTTAGAAAATAAAATTACAGGTCTGAAACATGTTACTTGTGTCACTATTATTGTTCTTCTAGACTTAGAATTACACAATTAACACAAATATTTTGAAACATTTTGCCAAACAAAACAGTTATTTTGTTGCAGTTATTATTTTATTTTACTTTAAATTAGTTTCAGTTTATATTTATTTTTTTATATAATATACTTCATCACAAAGGGTATGATAAGGCCAACTTAATGCCGCGGGCATTTTCTCCCAGTCTGACCTTTGGGTGATGCAAAGAAGAGTAATTGGTAGGTGCAAGAGGCAAACCACTATATTTACACATGTATTAAACCAAAAGCTGCTGGAGAAATTGAAAGCAATATGCCTATGTATTAAAAAAACTTCTACATGTTACAGTTTTGTACAAGGGTTATTTTAACTTTCAACAACTTTACTTTTCAGTAACATTTCTCCGTACACAGCTGACACACAGATATAACTCAAAGCTAGATATAGAGAGGCATCACAAAACACATTATAAAAGTTTTAAAGTCTAACAAGTATTTTAAAAACTACATTTACATATGGTAACGATTTCAGAGGGGTGATCAAAATATTTAACAAGTTAAATTTACGTATTTTTTGCCCATTTACTATATCTATAAGACTTACAGTGATATATCTCACTATTTTGCTGTGGATAACTCAAAATAAGAGAACATTGCACTAAATATTTATACAACTTACTTGATAAGTGAGATATCCCGCTGAACTTCTCTGACATCTCGCTGCCACTCAACTTCTCGACCCTTCCTTAGCCTCTGCATAATATGGTTGTTACTTCTCCTCTGTCTAATCTCTTCGACCTTCTTCATGGCTTCAATAGTCTTTGCCCATAATTCTCTTCTGTACTTAACAGGGGTATTTCTGCGCTTCTCAAATTCGAAGGATGGGTCGATAGCCAAGTCCTTACCAGCGGTCTTACGGTAGGCTTTAGTCCATTTAGTTTTACGCGGGTTCTTCTTCTTCTTGAATGCAGCATGGCATTTTGATCGGCAGAATCTAAAAATCTAAAGGCGAATAGGTTAGTGGCGCAATTTGTGAAATTACGTGAAATATTTGTGGAAGATTATATATTATTTTAGCTTACCTTACAATCATTTCTGACAAATTGAATTCCGTGTCCAGGATAAATCCTGGACGAGCAAAAATAACATGTTTCTATACGCATTTTGGCACGTGCTGCTTTATTTGATAGCAGGCCAGGAAAGGAACGACATCAATATGGCAAACGTCACTTTATTGTCAAAGTTTGACAGATTGGAATTAGCGTGTTGCTAGTTTTTAATATTTCTGTTTTATTTCTTTCGTCAGTTTCACTTATTAATTTACTAATGTTATTAAATTAATGTTAATGAAACGTAACTTTGTTTATTAATATGGTACCTATTTCATATCTAAAATATAAATAACATCGTAGTTGTACACTTTTGATACTACATAACACAACATGTTATGTATGTTGTGATACTAGATGTCGCTGTAACGTCATATAAGTTACTTCTACTATTAGGCGATAGATGTCACTGCCAGGTAGATTAAAACGTAATGGAAGTCAAGATGTTACTTTTCGACGCTAGATGTCACTGTAAGTCTTATATTTTAGTTCTCATCTCTCTTGATGATAATTTTCTACCTATTTATTTACATTATTATCACAATTATTTTTAAAATTTCTATGTTGTTAATAACAATGTTGTAAATAAGAATTCCAGATATACATAGGGACTGTAAGGGAACGGTAGACCACTAACCTTCTAAACTAAGCGATCTCTATAATCCACTTAGGATGCCCTCATAATATTTAGAGGAGGTACTTACATCGTCTGGCAGTGGACTAGATAACCTGCCTGCCTGCTTAATGTTCGTTTCACTTCTCTAGATAAATGTTATTTCTTACGATCATAAGAACCTGATTCAACGCTGATTGAAATAAATTACCTATGTAAAAAAATGTCAACGGAATGAGTCACCACACTAGTAACAATAGGTACCCTGCGACGTATGACCTGCTGTACAATCCAGACTTTATTAAAACAGTTTGTGATGCTAATGATGGCCGCCGGTGGTCCCCGCATGCAGGCCACGTTCCCTAATGAGATGAGCGTCGTGCACAGATTCACCATCGCCTCATTACCATCCCAAGACCATCATTACCAAATCATCATTCCCAATTTACACACGATCTGAATTTTTATAATGCGAATTAGTTTAGGTAAATTCTAATGTGCCATTATGTTTTATGGGTATTTAATTTACTTTTTATTGGTTACGTGAGTTCTAAGTGCTTCGTTGAGTCATCCAAGAAGGATATTCTGGGTGGTACAATGTCTAATGTTGTCGTAAATTTGAAAAAGTACGTGTTTGTTACCCACAAACAATTGCGTATTTTAGAGGTTATTATGGGAGTGTCTAAATGTACCTAAATTCTTTGTTTGAAGTGAATCGGAGATAAATGTGTGCCTTATTTTTGGTCGATATCTATTGATACAAGGTTTATGATGAACACTGGCAAGACCAGAAGCTTACCTTCGAATCAATTTTTCACATCATCATATCAGTCACAAGACATTCACTACTAGACATAGGCGTCTTCTAATGCCTGTCAAATTGATCTGTTGGAATCGAGCTATATCAACGGCTTTGTAATGAAAATAAGACACCGCTTAGCTCAACATCTATACACTACCTTTGTCGCGGAGAACCTAACGGGTAACCGGGGCTCCGGCTCGACGTGCAGGAGAAGGAACGGGGTGGTTTTTAGTCAGTAAGAGTCTGACACTCCCTTCCGCCTCACCCAGGCGGGAGCAGTAATTCGATGATTTTCCCCCCTTAAAAAAAAAAAAATACACTACCTTTGAGATAGGTACCTAGATAGTAAAATGCCTACAGTGATAATAATTTTATTAAACAAAAAAAAAAAATCGCCAGTCTTCATCCACAGTTTGTTATAAGTAAGACAGTTTTTTGAAACGGTTTAGTCAAACCAACCCTGGAAATTCCATAAACGGAGTTTCGTTCATTGATGTAGTTACTGATGGCCCGAAGGCAGGCGCGGTCGGAGGGACATATTTCAAAGGCAGGAATGCGGGAGGCCATTCATCCAATTCCCACAAGTGCAGCTAAAAGTTACAGCTTCATTACAATTCGGTGCACATCGCATGCAAACACAACGAACGTGCGATTTTTTTCACCAACACTGTTCGTGCCCGTCGCGCGGTAGTACCACCATGATCTAGTGCCGGATACATTTGTTTTAAACAATATTATACACTAGCTACTTCCGAGCGGTTGCACACGCTCTGCTCGGCTCCTATAGGTCGTAGCGCGATGTTTTATAGCCTATAGCCTTCCTCGATAAATGGACTATCCAACACAAAGACTTCCTAAGATTAGCGCGTTCAAATAAACAAACAAACTGAGAAACTCTTCAGCTTTATATATAAATAGTATAAGATTTTTCTTCATTGTTTGGGTATTCTTAAAAATGAATTTCCGTTCGTTAGTGTCGCTACACGCTACACCTCGTGAACGGCTGAACCGATTTGGCAAATTGATTCGATAAGGTTTAAAGGATGAGAAAAAAAAATGGCGCAGTACGAAGTTAGCCGGGTCAGCTAGTATTCCACATCACAATGTTATGGCTGAAAAGCTGGGCACGAGACTCAACTGACTCACCCCTAGGTAGGGTAAGCAATAGGTACATTACATAAATCTTTTCAATAAATTGAACTTTCCCTAAAGCCAAGAATTAATTTATCTATTCATATTTTAAACAACTTTATACCATCAAATCAGACAGTTTCCTAGTTTCGACTGGACATTAGACAAAGCAAGTAAACCAATGAAGTTATACTATCGAGTTTGACTGGCTTCGCTTAAAGGTAATAAAATCTAGCTGGATGTAATTGCTTGAACGGGAGTGTAAAGTTCTTGTATCTGGTCATTTTACAGACAGTGTGTGGGTTAGATATACGCTATTCGTAGATACAAAACGTAATAGTTTTCTGTACAACTGACTGCTTATAAAGGCTATATTTACGTGCACGTGGACGTGTTTCAACTCTGAACTGACTCGTAGGGAGATTACTGTGCAACGTGTTTTTGTCTAAGCTTACTGACTTACTAGAGGTAGCCGTCAGCTTGGCTTATTATTGCCTGGATATGACTTTTCTAAGTAATGTGAATTCTGGTAATTCTTTCAATATCCTGGATATTGATTAATTATCAGAATCTAGAAGATTCCATATTTATTTTTATAAGTTCTGTCTATTTGTTTCTAGTCTAGTCATAATTCTGTTAGCCCTGAATCCTTTTTACAATTTTGATCTGACTGATACAATATAATAGAAAATTAAACACGTATTTTGCTTTTCAAAAATGAATGCAATAATATTTATTACACACTAGTCCAAAAACATACGTAACATACCTACATAGATGCTAAAATAAAGGGTCATAAGGATTTTTCCTAAAATCGTCAAATCCATGGTCACACGACATGCATGTAAAAATCTGTCCGTCTGTCGGTGGGTGATAAATGAGGTGACATGGAGAAACCGTCACGAGTCGCTTCATGATTACAAGTTACAAGTATTTCTCATTTATAATGAGAATCGCGTCCCAACTGTTGTTGCATTTCGTTCCTTTTTTGACACGTTTCGAATTAATTTTGTTATACTGTCGCTAAGTTCTGTTGGGCGTTTGTCAATTGGATGACTATTAGTTCGACTCTCAGTAGGTAATTATGTGTTTTTCTTATGTCGTTTACTTGTTGGTGCGGTGGCTATGCTATCGGCTGCTGCGTAACGTGCGTCATCCAAAAATTGTTATCCCGGGTCTGGGTGTCATGTGCATGTGATCTTGTATGTTTGTCATAGCACGCATGATACAGGAGAAAATCGCAGTGTGGGCAATGTTTTCTTAAAAAATCTTATTATTGTAGAGCTATCTACTGACAAATACAGGGAATCAATGTGTATATGTAAATAATGGTACCTACTTAAATCTTTGCAGACTATTAATAACAACCTTTATTTAAAAAGCAATATCCTTAGGCAAACTTCACATAGATACCTAGTTCATAGTCGATATATTCTGCAACTAAAACACTCCATACACTTTCATCAACAACAAAATAAATAAGCATTGAACTATCAAAGAAACTATATATACATTATCAAATAAATCATAAATGTAACGCAGTGAATGCAGACAGCGCCACCTGTTGGCGTCGTGAGACAACTACGTAACGTCTGTGTCGTGTGATCGTGTTGTGTCGTGTACATCACACGATAAATGCGACAAGAGCATGGTGTTACATGCTCGTCGACAGCGTTTGAGGGTTATGTATGAGCTGTAACTTTGAATCGTGTTATTTATATCCCTTAGATTACTATCTTAGTAGACATACCTATAGTGTTAGATAATTATAGTTGAATGAATGTAGTATTGTTGTTCTATGAACTAACGTAGGTAATGCACCATACCATCTAAGTATGTCCTAGTATGTAGGTACTAGTATATACCTACTATTTGATTTAGGATGGTCCTGGGTACTTATTGAGGAGATCTGCATATGATTTATATTGTTTTGAAAATTGTGTCCTATATTGAACAAAACACTCGATCTTCAGAAAATGTATCAAAAATTATTCTAAAAGTATGCTCTTCAGAAAGTATAGAAAATAAACAACATGATCCTCCATGCATGATGTAGCTATACATTAAAATTAACACATTTTTAATGTAAGCAAGACACGTTATGCGATATTCTTTTAGCACTTCGTCCTTATTAATTTATAATTAGGTGACAGCTTAAAACGAAACCCATGTCGTACATACAGATATTATCTCGCAAGATTGCACATTAGCATTTAGTTTGCGCCGGCGCACCGCAGATATTCAACTGGAAAATATTATAGAGTGGCAATGGGTGTCATTCAGTAGGCTCACTCTATGTGATTGATTGAAGTATCACATGAATTTGGGTAGAACTGTGCAGTGGTTAGTATTAGTGTCATCATCAGCGCGTCCAACATAGTCAGTAGTCTGTAGTCCACTGCTGGACTGGGCCTCTTCTACATAAGAAGGTTTGACATAATCTTCATGTATGGCAAATGAGTTGGCCTCAGTTTCAGATTTAACAAAGAGTGCAGAGGCCCGGGTTTCTGTCCAATATGTATCATGAACGGAGGAGTAAGGGCAGTAACAATCGCATTTTATTCTACCTCT